AAATCTTCAACTTGTTCGCTGATTTCTTACAGCAAATGTTTAAAGATCCTTATATAGTTTGTCAATAGAATGTACTTCTATTTTAAAATTCGATTCCATTAAATTATTTCGACATAATCTATTCCGTTTCGCCACCACATAATTTGGTACTACATTTCCATGTAACTCGCCATCAATTTCATTTCTCAAAAAATCAAGTCAATTAAATAATTTGGTATTAATATTTGAATTCAAAAAAATAAAAAAATAAAATAAAAAACACTACAAATGTACATTAGAAAAAAGTAAGTCAAAATGGAAAAGAATCATGCAAAATAAAACATTACTATTGTACATTTCAAAAGTCAAAATGAAAATGTTAAAATATCACATTTTTACGCGATTTTTTTGGATATTATCCTTTTCGGAGAGGAGACAATTCCGAATTTGTATGAATCGTTAAAATCAGTCCAGCGGTTCTTAAGTTATAAGCGTAGTAACTAACACAACTTTCTTTTATATATATAGATATTATTTTTTTTTTTCAAATTAGTTACTGAAATCTGGCATACCAAAAACACACATAAAATGAAAAAATTGTATGTTTATTAAATATAATATGTACCAATTTCTTTTCGTTATAAAATCCTTAGTAAAATTACAATCATGATATCGCTCAAATTCGAACATTTGTATTTTAATCAAATCACTCACTTAACTAGGATAAATCAAACCGATCACACTCATCGTAGCTGATCGACTCGTTATGAACATAAGTTCGTAAACAAATAACTCATGTGAGCTGTTTGATTGCGAACACAAAACTTCGATCAATACATGTTTTATCACAACTTTTTCGTTTGGCTTGAGCAACTCGAATGAACATGTTACATCTGACCGACTGATTGAGTTTGATTGTATTTCCACTGTGTGTGATCAAGCCTACTCAATCATACTCATTGCAACCCTCTGGTGAGTAATAAAATAGTTATCTTTTTTAGCTCGATTTTGCTACACTTTTTCATTGCCTAACTAGACAATTGTTTAGTTGGTGATGGTGAATCGAGGTGTAGGGTTCGAGTTTTTAGTGAATTTATAATATAAATGACAAGTTTTAATATGTTATTTGTTAAGTTTGAATTAAACATTGAACTTGTATTATAAAGCATTTTCAGATTAAATGAAACCTTTTGCAATTGAAATGAAACTTTTTGCAGCGGAAATGAAACCTTTTGTAGTGGAAATGAAACCTTTTGCAGTGGAAATGAAACCTTTTGCAGCGGAATTGAAACCTTTCGCAACCGAAATGAAACCTTTTGTAACCGAAATGAAACTTTTTTAAAATACCAAAACATTTTTATTTTTAATAGGTTTAAAATTATATCAACTAATTATAACTAATATATAGTTAAACGGAATTTTTATTGATTACTAATATCTACATTTTTATATTATTTGTTAAATTTTCAATTCTTGTAAAAACAAATGGTTCTTTTTTGATTTGATATCAAATATTTCCATATTATTAAATTTCTAAATGCTCAACGCTAAAAAGACAAATTAATCAAATTTTGGACTTTATAGGTATGGGCAGGACTGAAATGCGAAATTAAGCTTTACTGCAATATTTTATAGTTATAGTATACTATTAATCTTACTTAATAAAGGATTCCAGCTTCGCAGTTTTATTGATTATCGAGATTATAAATTTCAATACCAAACATCCTAGACACAATACAATGTTGTGCCAATTTTCAAAGCTCTTCATCAAATCTCAATATCGTGATTTCAATAGACAGACTGGTGGACATCATTAAATCATCTTTGATCATGATTGTATATACTTTATAGGGTCTACGACGAATATTTAGAGGTATTACAAACGGAATAACAAATTTAATATACCCTCCTTTCTATGGAGGAGGTTATAAAAAGGTCTTTTGGAGAAAAGACCTTAAAAAACTTTTTTATGGAAGCTAAAATTTTAACAAATAATGTTATAAAAACATGGATATTAATGATCAATAAAAATTACTCTTTAACTATATATTAGTTATAATTAGTTGATTTAATTTTAAACCTACTAAAAATAATTTTTTTTTGTAATTTTTCCTTCTATAAATCTAAAAGTTTTATTTGATTTGCAAAAAGTTTCATTTTGGTTGCAAAAGGTTTCATTTCCGCTGCAAAAGGTTTCATTTCCACTGCAGAAGTTTTCATTTCCACTGCAAAAGGTTTCATTTCTACTGCAAAAGTTTTCATTTAATCTGAAAATGCTATATTAGGGTATTGTAGATAGATAATATAAGTTATGAGCCCTGTGGGCTTATTTATATGTCTTTGTAAGGTAAATAAATGAAATGAATTCGAAATAATTCCATTTTATTTTTTTTTATATCAAAACAATACAGAGTAGGTTTATTTACTATCTTTCTATATTTCGAAAAAGAGGTGGACTATGACTGTTGTGGCCGCATCTATGGGTGTCTAAACTCATAGGAATATATATTTTAAATACTACTACCTCAGGGGTTATTGGCAAAATCGCAGCCAAAATTACAAAATCAGTCGTATTTGTATTTAGGCTGTAGCTTTGTTTTGCCTCCTGTAATTATGATATGGGACAAATCTTCCAAGAAAACAACCATCAACTTTTTCATCGCATGTTCCTCCATCTTGGATTATATCGATATAATGGATATAGGCCGTAGGTCATAAGAATTTTTGGCATTCCACACCCTCCAGACGGTATTTAGATAATAAAGTACGAAGATCGGTTAAATAATTATTACGTTGATCTTAACGGGTTTTCCATTGTGAGGAATATAAAAAGGGGCCGCAAATTCTATTGGAGAATCAATCTAATTGTGTATTTCAAATAGTATGCCTTTTATTTGTATGTATATGATGTTATATCTATTGGTCTGTTCCAGAACTGCAAAAATATAAAAGTTTTTACTATGATAACCGAGTTCCCTTTATGATATTGAAAAGAAGCAAAACAAGTAAATATGAACAAATTAATTCTCCAATCCTTAATCACATTTGTTGAAGATTAGACGTGCATGTTTTGCTTTCTTAAATAAATATCATTCCACAAAGAGGTTTCTGCAATTGGTTATGGGCTGGTTTATTTGGAAAGTTGGAGGCGATTGGAGAAAAGTTCTCAGAATGTTGGCTTGTGATCATGTTGCTAAGCATGTTTACCACCGTCGTTTGATATGTTGATTACAGCATTGGAAGTACGGAAAGTAGAAGAACTGGCTGTGAAAACTGTTGAATCTTGTTTGTTAGAGGAATGTGAACGTCACAAGAAGGATCTGCAAACAATTTCTGTATTGAAGAGTTACAAATCCTGCGTCAATAAATCTGAAAAGGAATAAGTCTGATTCCAAAAATCAAGTGAATGAAGCGAAAGAACAAGGAAGGGAGAATGGAAATTAATGCTGTTCTTCACATAATAATACTTCGGCTTGGATTCTCGACGCGGGGGCAACGTGCGACATCAGTTCACAAAGGTCAAATTTTACATCATTGACAACATTCCAGGAACCAGTAACGGTAGCAAACGGTCAAACAGTTAAATCAACCAGAAACGGATATTGTCAAATCAAGATGATAAATTCTCGAAACTAAAAATGTTATATTACAATCGTAGATGTGTTTTATCTATTTACATTCCAAGGTAACCTATTATCCGTTTATCGAATTTTAAAGGAAAAAAATTATATTTATGTTCAAAGAAAATTGTGCAAGTATCCAAACTAAAGAAGGAAAGGAAATTGCTATAGCCGAAGGCCTATTTCAGCTTCGCCATGATCAATAAGTTTTGTTCACTGTATGCCAAGACTATTGGCACAAAGACTTGGCCATAAAGATATCGATGCGCTTAAAGAAATGCAGAACCATAATCTTGCAAATGGGATGTATATTCAGGATTGTGGAATCAGAAAGGTGTGCGAGGTATGTTGTGTACATAAAATAACTAGAAAACCGTTTAGCAAATAATATGAAAAGATGATAACACGTTTCATTGATGATCATACTTGATACACGGTGGTATAACTTTTACATTCAAAGGATGAAGTTGGAGAAAAAATTAAATGTTTCAATGAATTTGTTTTAAAATAAATTCGGAGAATATTTGGAAAATAAAGGATCTTAATATCAATATAAGGTGCCATAATGCCCACAACAAAATGGTATCGCAAGAAGGAAAAATTGTACACATGTTGAGATGACTATTAAAAGAAGGAAAACTACCCAATACTTTCTGGGGAGAAGCAATAACGACATCTAATTACATTGAAACCCGTTTATATTCTAGAGCAACAGCCAACCAAAAGTACGGTACGGGCTATGATAAGATAATCGCTTCTCCAACTTTACGAGTTTTATTATCCGTCGCCGGAAAATATGAAAGTTATTCATGTTTTTAACTTATGTGATGAAAAACAGCGACCGAGTACCTTGAATTTTAGCTAATGCACTAACTGACATGGGTATACGATTTTCCGGTAAAAAATACTCACAGTGTTAAACAAAGTTACACTACGAGAATTAACTCTCTCACGTACATATAATGAAAAAGTTACCAACAACATTCAAGGTAATTCTCTATTCTATCATAGCTTAGCTCTATTTTAAGTTAATCTTCCAACACATGTATAATTGGCCTTCAATGGCTTTCTTTGTAATGAATAAAATAAAATAATAAATAATTCATCATATGTGTTTCCCATTTAAGTTGTTGAGATCAAAATTGATGGTATAGTACAATAATGAATGCTTATAATATGAAAAATTATTCAATTACTTCCTACAACTTTTGAACATTTTCACATTGACCGCAAAACAGGTTATATATCCAATAAGAATTTGTGAACTCTAAGTAACTAAACGTTAAAATTCTGCTTATCACTTGCTTTTATACACGCATAATATTTTAATCAGCAACTTATATATTAATGTACAGTACCATTTAATACAAGTAAAATATACACCAATTTGTTATTTTTCAGAAAATAAACATGTTGCGACCAAGGCGACAAAAACAAGGCTATCGATCACTGGCATCGCAGCACCAGGAGATATTTATGATGCGTCGACTGATGAAGAGGAGTATTTAGAAAAAAAGAATATGAAACTGTTATCCTAATGATTGTTGGATTTTCTTAATAAATTTGCTTAAAATTCTATATTTATTTATTTATTCATTTCATACCATAATACTAAAGCCTACAAGGCCAATGAATAGTATTAATAACGTAATTATGCTCCAAGTAGAAAATAATAACTTAAAACTAATTATAACTAAGTCAAAAATTAAAAAAAGGGATTAATATTAATAATAAATAAAGGACGTGATAGCAACAAAGCAACAAGCCTTAAATAAGTGTACATACATATCTCAAAAGTAAAAGTACTAAAAACATGTACTGTTTTTAACAAACTAATAATATACATTAGATAATATGAAGATCAGAATTACGAAGGTGGCCTATAAGTTTTAAGCGGAAAGCATTATTAGACGGTGAAAATATTCTCAGTTCAGGAGGCAAATAATTCCATCAACGGGCAACTCGTATTACAAAAGATCTCTCAAAAGTAGAATTGTATATTCTAGGTATAAATATCTGAGTATTTCTCGAGGACATAGCAAATCTGAACATATTCTTTAATAAAGCAGGTACACCTGTTTTCACAATTTTATAAAAAGAGCATAACACCCTACAATTAACAAACCGTTCAAAGTTAATTCCCAAGAAAATATCCACATAGTCAGATATATGCTGCCCAAGTCTAACTCCAAAGACAAAGCGGGTAATGGAATTAACCACACGTTTTAACTTCAAGGACACACGTTCTATTGTGCCAGACATAACCTCCAAGCCATAATTAATATGAGGCATCAGTAGAGCATAAGCAATTTTCCTTTTGACCCAGATCGGAAGAGAAAGATTCGTTGAATATAACCTGTGGATAATACTATACACTTTCCTTTGAACAAAGTCAACATGTGTGTCAAATAAAAGTTTATCATCAACAAATAAACCTAAAATTTTATGACAATTTACAATAGCAACTCTATCTCTATTAAGAAAAATATTAAGCTGAGATGAGAAATTGCCAAAGCATATGGCTCTAGTTTTTACAGGATTGGTTACCAGCATGTTATCAAAACACCACTGTTCAAAACGAGCTAGGCAATCATTAATTTCCGTCTCGAATAATATCTGCGAGTCATAAACATTACTAAAGACAAGGAAGACATCATCAGCAAACAAGAGCAATTTGCAGTTCAAGTCCGAAAAGCATTCCTTGAGACTATTCACATATAGCACAAACAGCAAAGGACCTAAGACAGAACCCTGTGGTACACCACATGTAAGAGACAGCACATTTGACGATTTGCCATTAAGAACAACAAATTGGCTTCTATCATGCAAATAAGACTCAACAAGCCTACAAGCGGTTGCAGAAAAATTAAACTCAGAATTAAGTTTATGTACCAAATATACATGAGAAATAGAGTTAAATGCTTTCGTAAGATCCAATGACACAACTACACTGTTAATGTTTACATTTGCATTATTCCTAATAATATCCGTCATGTATAGCATCAAACCTGTTGTATTGTAATTCTTTCTTTCGATTTAGGATCATAAAAATATCATTGACAAAGACACAGTTAAAAGAAAAACTATTTTCAGGTTCATCTATAGCATTAAAATCAAAATAATTAGAAAGCGAATTAGTACAAGCAAACGACATATTCACAACATCAACATCAAGGTCACAAGCAATGTCATCATCACCCATAAGTCCAGATCCTCTCAGAAACCTCCAAAGAGCAGTTGAGCCCATAGTATTGAATTTTTTGGAATAATATCTTCTTCTCTCACGTCGAATAACAGATTTCACCTTGTTCCGATATTTGCAAAAAGTTTTCCAATTATCCGCGGTTCTATCTCGCTGGTAGGTTCTAAACGCAAAATCCCAAAGAGACCGAGCAAAAGTAATGTGATTAGCATTGATCCAATCATCATCACAACGAATTTTCCGCCGAACTACAGGTACAAACTGAAATAAATCGAGAATATATAATATATATATATATATATATATATATATATATATATATATATATATATATATATATATATATATATATATATATATATATATATATATATATATATATATATATATATATAACTGAACACTTAACATCAACATCAACGACATACAACTCATTTAAATCAAACGCAGATAAATATGAAAAAAATTTTCCCAGTCTATATTTCGGTAGTCATGATATTCAACATAATGGCAAGATGTTCTTACACTCATATCAAGCGAAGCAAAAATGAGCGAGTGATCCGAGATTGCAGGGCAAATTACCTGATCAGAACAATGGACCATAGAACAATCACTGACTAACATAAAATCTATCAAAGAAGACGAACCATGAGAAACATCGTAGTGGGTTGGTTTAGAATTGTGCAAAACGGACAAATTCAATCTGAAACACACTGAACGAACTGCCGACGACTTCTGCAAATCAAATAAATTACAATTAAAATTACAATTACACCAACAGCAACTATTTTAAAGTACCTAGAAAACAACTCAGAGTGACGTTCCTCAAATACAGCAAAGTCACCAGGAGGGGGTAGATACACTACACCGAATAATATTTTCATATCCCCAGAAAGCAATTCAACAAATAGCGACTCACATACACCTGCCTCCATGCATTTAAACACAATTCGATGTGATATTTCATTCGAAATATATATTCCAACTCCACCTCCCCTTGCATTGCTACGATCATGCCTCAGAAATTCATATCCAGGTATTTTATTACAAATGGCATTCAAATGAGCAGCCGCTGGATTAAAATGATCATTAAGATACACACGATTGCTTAAGTCACTGCAAGCAACATCCAATACATCAGAAACTTTAAGGTTACGAGTTTTGAAGTACTCCCTCATTAGACAATCTCTTTTCGATACCTTATTAAACTTAACTAGTACTTGCTTTTTTCTGTTAATATAGTAGACTTGGTTGATGTCGAGGCTAGTAATTTCCACCTTAAAGAAAGAGCCTATTGCAATAACTGGTGCTTCCAAGTCTTCCAACCCCTCAGGTAAACCTCCAATCAAAATATCAGATCGGTTCAGGCGCTTGTGTAAAATATTGTCCTCATTCTCAAGTGCTACGAATTTGGTTGCAGCAGATCTTTCAACTCGTTGAACATTTTCAGCACACTTTTGGATATCAGATCGCATCTCGCAAACACAGGAGCTTACTTCATTCTTTATATCCTCCAGAACTGTTTTAAGAGCACTCTGCTGGCTTTCATAACTGAGTACAAAACGATCCAACTTCTCATTCAAACCATTTATCTTGTCAATAACACCAGAAGTACTGCAATTTTCACTAAGATTGGGTTCACAAGAGGCACAGATATAGGCAAAGGCCTTAACCGATCTAAGAACTCCAAGACCAGCACATGACATATGAAACCAACATTTACAGGCTTTACATAAAATGCTGGATCGTGTCTTTGTAATGGATTCCTCACAAGATTTACATTTAACAATTTTGTTAACAGGCATATTGAGATGCAAAACCAGCAACAACTTCAGCGAGTAAATAGAATAAATATGTAAGAAAGGCGACGGCAATTTCAGCAGCAACCAACAACAGCAACACAGCAATATTACGCAATCTTAATCCAAAATCAATTAGGCATAAAACTTCAAATTCGAAGAAATCGCAATATATCCACGTTAATTTTATTAAGTCCAACGTATAGACCACAATTTATTTGTTTATGAACAAACGTAAACAGCAATATTAACAAAATGATCAGCTGCGATAAAAATGACCGTCTACTCAGGCATATGGTTGCCAAAAAGTGTTTCTATATGTATGTATAAGAGGAAAATGTTTCTATGTTTGTTTGTAATTTATGGACTCGAAAACCGCTGCACAGATTTTCCTGAAAATTCGAAGGATACTATAAAGGACTGCAACTGTGACAATTTTCTCTAGAGAAGAGAAAACGCTCGGCATGTTATGCCCGGTTTGGTCAAACGCATAGCAGTAAGTGACATCCAACCATCGTCATGTCGGTCAGACTCAAACCCATCGTCATGACATGTAATGACTGTTAAAAGGTGTGTCATACAAAAATGTTGTACCAAAAAAATAACAACAACATTGAAACAATTGCCAATGAAAAAGACACACACGTAATGAAGGCAAAGCGCAATCGCTCCCTGTTTTTCTGATATATGAAAAAATACATTTATTGTAATAAAGTATTTCTTTGGAATACTAACATATTTCAGGTAATAGTCCCCAAATGTTCATATAAGGCGGTTATTGACGACACAATCCAATTTGCCAATCCTTATTATTAACAAAACCGCACAAATTTACTAAATAAAAACACGATTTTGCTTCCAGAACTGAGGTGTAATTGAAAATTAATTAATTCATTAATTCACGTAAACAACACTATATACTTCCATTGTTTTATTCTGTGAATATCTCCTATTGAATGAGAGTCATATCTCTGCCCCATACTATAATTTTGAAAGAACACTATATGTAGGTAGAAAATAGGCAAACAATATTTTCCTATTATTTTATGACCAAAAATTTATGATAGATACCAATAATTTAAGATAGTCCAGTATATTTTTAATTTTTGGTTACTTCAAAATTACAACACACACAAAAACACATCCTCACCGTCGAAAGTAACACACCCACACTTTCTCAATTTAAGCACACGTACACAAATGAAATACAATTTGACGACGACATGGTTCGATGTCATCGTCGACACCCTGCATTTTTGGAGAACACCATGCAAATATTCGAGTCAGCCACGCCACGATCGAACCTTAAACAGTCGCACACATGAATCAAAATGAGGGATCTTGTTGGTTGTCATTGCCTATCAAATACATAACGCTTGATTGTATAGACGAAGTCAGTGTGTCGAAAAAAGCATAATTCATACAATTCGTCTTGTGCTGACCTTTAGTATACTACAACATTGCCTGAAAGTAACATAGACTATATACATTTTTGAAACTCCACTTGGAACTAAAGAGATAGCATCTTAATCGGAGGCACCTCCCAATTTGTAACAAAAACAAATTTGCCAAATTAT